GCTCGTGCCTTCTTCGCAATTTGCCCAAGAGCGAGCTCCAGTGAGCCCTGCGATCTGCCGAGAAGGGCGCGGGCCGCGGGAGTTTTGCGGCGCGGGCCGCGGGGCGCGCGGCGAGGCGGGCCGCGGGGGGGTCGCGCGGGCGGCGGCTGGATGGGCGACGGACGCGACGGCGCCGACAGCATGGGCAAGGGTAGATTCGGTTGACCTCAGAGAAAGTCGCCTCATCCACGCATCGAGGAACAGCGCAAGGCCGCTCACGCGCTCCAAGGCTGATCGCTGAAGCGTCGGATGAATCAGACTGTTGCAGCCAAACCCGCTGATCGCGACAGAGCGCATCGAAAGCGGGCGCTCGGTGGCAACATCTCTGGGGGGGGAGGGTCCGTCGCCGAACCCGCAGGCTGCAGCAGCAACGCACGGCGCCGATAACATTTTGAGGCCGAAACAAGTCACTGGGAATGTGGTCACATGGCAAGCGCAGAGAGTTCACATCGAAACGTCGGAAGTCTGGGTGGACGGCATGGCGGTAGACGCGCGGCTTCCTAGCCCGGACACGTCCTTGAGGGTTCATCAGGTCAACCTTAGGAACTCGCATGTGGAGCGTTCGAACTAGCATGTGATCGCAATTCCTGCCCTAGGCTCGCCCCCGCCGCGCCCTCGGCGCGCTGCGCGTGAGAGAACAAAAACCATTGCCATAGCTGGTGCAAAAACCGACACCTTTGTTTTATCAGCATGCAAAATCGCCCCCCCAGAACAGTCACTAACCGCTCCGACCGAACTCCAAGACTATATTGGGAATGCCAGACGGCCACGCTACCAGCGCAAGCAGAGTACCGACCTCCCGAGGTCCCCCGAAGGGGCCCAAGAGGATCGAAAAGGCGCAAGTCCCCAAGAGGCGCTCAAAGAGGCCGCACGCGAGCGCATCGGATACCAAACGCAAGCTGCTGGCCCAGAGGAAGGCTCGCGCGTAATCCTGAACCGTGTTTTGAGCCCCCAAGAAGGAGGTAACAAATCCCACCAGCCTTCTGGGCGCAGGTGGTCTGACGATGTCTTCCTTTCATATCCCAACAAACCCTCCGCCCCCTGGGGGGGGGGGGGGAGTGCCACTGTTCCCTATTAATGCACGCCCCCTTACCTCGCCCGGCCAGCAGCCAACCCAGAACCATGCGCGCACCATCCCTGTCAAACAAAAAAAACGAAACGTACTCTGCCTCCAAATCCGGGGCATGCGCAACCAACCCGATGCGCCCCCCCCCCCCGGCCACCCATTTTCAAAAACCAGGCACAATGCACTTTGGGGCAAAGTCTGGAGTCGTGTTCGCGAGGCCCGCGGGCATTTTGAATTGTTTTTTTCGGCAGGGGCGGCGGGGGTGTCTGCATATTGCCTGCTGCGCGCAGGGCTACCATCCCTGACAAACGTACAATGCAGCATTCACCTCGCGGCTACATGTGGATAGTGCGTGGCCACCCCGCGATCATTGTCAAGCGTTTTCTGTCGGGGGCGGCGGGGGCGGCGGCGCATGGCGCGCTGCGCGCAGGCCCACAAGACACAATGATGGGCAGTGGTTTTCGACATGGATGGTGGGGGCCGAGATGCTTCCCGACGCGCGCTGTCACGCGGGCGGGCTGGAGGGAACATCTGGCGCACTAGGCGCGCCTGGCACGCTCGGGCGCCAAAGGCGCCCGGTGCGCGCGGCGCGCCTGGCGCGCGTGGCGCACGCCGCCCCAACGTCGCGCACATGGGCTCGGTTTTGGTGCGACCGCGGAACCTGCGGAGGCTCAGGTGTCACTTCTTGGCCGGGAAGGCGGGTGGGAGTGAGCTAGGCGCCTTGCTATCTGGAGGGCGTGTTGACCCCTCCCCCGGCCCCTCCCCTGGACCTGGGCGGGAGGGGCCGCGATCGGTTGGAGCGTCCAAAATCGGCCCATGTGAGGGCAATTTTTTGACACGCCTCACCAGGATCGTGGCCCCCGAAAGGGGGGCCTCGATCGGGCGCCTTCCTCCTTTGATCTGCAGCCTCGAAGATAGCCCCAAGAGGCGCTCCAGGGCCCCCAGGAGAGCCCCAGAGAGTCCCAAGAGGGCTCCATGAGGGTTCAAGCAGGGCCCCACGAAGCACCCGAGAGGCCCCCAAGAGGCCCCCAAGCGGTCTCAGAGAGCCCAAGGCGACCTCCAAGATGGCTCATATAGCCAAAGCTGGCTCAAGATGGTTCCCAAGATGCTCCAAACGGCCCCGAGACCGTTCCACGGGCGCACAAGGGCGCTCCAACGGAGCCCCAAGAAGCGTTTTGCCGGCTCCCGATGGGGGGGGCTGAGTTGGGGACCCCCCCACCCTGTAATCGATGGCCTCCAAGATGATCCCAAGAAGCCTTCCAGGGTTATCCAGAGGGTTCTAAGAGGGCCTCAACAAATCCCAAATCACCAGCAGCAGCAGCCGCAACGATACCATTAGATGGTTCTATGAGTCTTCGTCCGCGTCGTCCTGATCCAAGGTTTCCTCCTCCTCGTCCTCGTCCTCGCCCGCGTCCTCGCCCCCCTCGCCCTCCTCGTCCTCCCCCCCCCCCTCGCCCCCGCGTGGCGCCCAAGGATGGCCCGGAGAGGCCTTCCAAAGCCACCCCCTTGCTCGCTTTGTTTCCCTAGATGTGTCTCTTCGTGCCTTTCCCCGTCAGCTCTGACGGGCAGGGTCTCTGAATGGGCTGGCGGGGGTGCGTTTTTGGCTCGAAAGCGATGCGGAAGTGCCGCACGCCATCAAAGTCATAGCGCGCTAGCTACGGCCTGAATTTCGCAAGAGGGGGGGCAGGCGAGACAAGGAGAGAGAAAAGACGGCGGAAAAGACAAGCAGCGGGCGAACCTCACTGCCGCTCAGAAAAACGCCAGCGCCCGGCGAACACCTGGGCGACGTGCAGCACCGTGAAGTAATTGAAATCCTCGTCCCAGAAGAGGAAGAACATGACGTGCAGCGCTCGGCGGAAATTCTGGATCGCCAGTCAACGGATGGTGCGAGGAGTCGGCGAGAGGAAGCCAAACTGCGGCGACGAGTCGGCGAGAGCCAACGCCGAGGGACATGAGCAGGCCCGCGGGAAAGCAACGTGGGGGAGGACCGGGTGTCCGTCTACCCCGCGCAGAGACGGCAGACTCAAGGCGAGCCGCGGGCCCAGGAACCCGGGAGAGTCCCCGAAATAAAAAGAGGCCAGCAGGCAGACCTCTGGCGCGACCAGGGTGGCCACGACGAAAGAAAGGCCCGCAGAGCTGCGTCCAGGGTCGGGGGGGGTCCCAGCGACCTCATGCCCTGGGGCGGCGGGAAAAAGCGGTGGCAGGCCGTCGCAAGCCAGGTGTGACCGCGAGATGCGGGACCTGGCAGCAAGAAGCGAGGGGACCCACCGAGAAATACTCCCCAGGGGGGGGGCGTTGACCCGAGCGCGACGGGCCGAGGGTGTTTCCATGCGGCCTCGCACGCTAGAGTGGTGCCGCCGCGCACCAGCCGCGGCGACGCCGACCACCGTCGTCGCCCGAGGGGGGCCGGCGGCGACAGCGGCACCGGTGCCGGTGGCTGCACCAGCGGCAACCGTGGCGGCTGTGGCTGGTGGGGATACGCGACGCGTCCAGAATTATTTGTCGGCGGCCTAGTGAAGGACCGGGGTCCCACCGATAAGGGGTAACCAAGTATGTTTTTCTCCCGCGGCACCCGCCGCGAAACAACGACGACGACAGCTACGATTGCGAGGAGGAGGAAGAGGAGGAGGAGGAGAAGAGGAAGACGAGGAGGAGGAGGAGGAGGAGGAGGAGGAGGGAAGACGAGGAGGTTTTAGGACCAGTCCGATTTACCGCTGAAGACCTTTAGCGGTTAGACGTCATTACTTCTGTGACAGAGGCGGTCGGATGGGCCTGCTGGGGTCTCGCCCGGTGCCCGGCTGGTGGCCGCTCCTGGGCGCCTCGTGGGCAGCCCGGGCGCCGCGTGAGTCTGCAGAGGTGTCGCCACGTGCCCGCCCGTGGGCGCCTCGTGGGCGCCGCGTGCGCGGGGGGGCATCACACAGCGTGCGCCACCGAGCTTGCAACCCATACGCACCGCACAACATGTATCGAACCAGACCCAGAGTCGATCAGATGAATTGCCAAGAACGTGGCTTGCACCGCATAGTGCAACACAAAGGTTGCACTACGTACAGTGGACCGCCTTGCCTACACCACATGAACTACACCACATCGGTTCTCGATCCCAGAAAGATATGACTACCCCCATGCCGAGCCCAGACTTCACAACCTCACCCCCCTGCGCGTTTTCGCTCCGCATTCCCACACATCGGTTGCACCATGGGTTTCGCCTGGTGGGCGGCGGTGGGCTCTTCAGGGGCGCCCCGTGCGCTGGCTTCGAATGCCGCAGTTTCGCCTGGGGGGGCGCCTCGTGCGCTGGCTGCATCCGCTGAGGCTTCGCTCGGTGGGTGGCCGTGAGCGCCTCGTTGGCTGCCCGGGTCTGTCGAGGTCTCGCCTGGTGGGCGGCCGCTGGCGCCTCGTCGGCGCCACGTGCGCCGGGTGGGTCTGATGAAGCTTCGCCCGGCCCCAACGCCCGCCCAGGTGGCCCCCCCAGGAGCCCAACGGGAACACCGCGCCAAAGACTGCCCCGAACCACATGCCTCGAAGAAGCCCTCCAGAGGACCTCACGAGGCCCTCCAGGAGGGCCCCAGGAAGTCCCAAAGAAACCCCAGAGATCCCCGAACCATCCTCCAACCGCCCATGAATCAATGTGAAAACCAAACAACGTTCGGCACAGGCTGTGACACGCTACAGCATCGTAGTGATGCTTCCCAAACAGCGGGTCAAATCAATTCTGTAGTGCCATCCTGCATGCAAGTCAATGCTACGCTGGCACTGTGGGGTGGTTTGCCGCAAGCAACCAGATGAAGGCGCCACTCATCCCCCTTGACAAAAAACTTAAGCTGCTCGAGCATTGTCTGCCAAACCCATGCGCAAGCAACATGCTGCAACCACATCCAGAAGAGAAACGGCGCACATACAAGGGCTCGACGTACGATCTGACTTCCAATATGACAACGGTAAGCATCAAGAAGTACCTCACGGCGAATGGACAGAAAAGAACGACATAGCCTGGAGCAAGCCACATATGGAATAAAGATGCTCTGTGCTCGGTAACATGAGCAACGGCACAATACTGACAAAACGCGCAAATATCCTGATCCCAACCTCCCATGCTCAGCCAACTGCTACCAACGATTGCCAAGACACAACAATGTCCACGCTGCCTCGAAGTCAAATAGGGCAGGTGAAAGCTGCAGGAATAATATCAGATGGGCTGGCTACTTTCAAAATTCCGTCCTCTCTCGCTCCTCTTACATATCGGATACCTTCCTGCCCCCCTCCCCCTGCCCCACCCCACTCCCAAGAACAGCACAGGCCCCTCTGGCGGCAGACAGAGGTGGGGGCGGCACGCCAACAATGTGAAGACACCGCCTGTCTGGGATGCCTGGGGGCTACGCCGAGGGGCCGCTTTCAGGAGTGACGGCTTTGGAATTATCTGCGAGGGGGAGGCGGGGGGTAGGAGGGGCAGCAGCGGCGGTGGCAAGGTCGAAAGTAGGACTCTCAAAGAGGCCCCACTGGAAATCACACAACGTAAAACGAAACCAACCTGTTTAAACCAAGAGACGGAACAACTTAACCATCACCCATGGTAGCCCCACCAAGACGCTCGAAAAGGCAAGTCGCACAGATGGCGTACGCCATGAGAGACTTACCAATGGTCCTGGGCACAGTTCCAATACAAACGTGGCTCGCAAACCCAATGCTAATTGCACACATCGAAGATTCGCTCGAGCCAGTAAGCGAAACAGATGAGCGGCCGCACATTACAGACAGACGTTCGAGGAACGACAATGAATGCCAGAACATATGGTTAGGCGATAGAAATCTTACCACTTCCGCAAGGCTCCTAAGCATGCCTCCACATGTGGAATGCGTAACGGGTCACTCCGCTTACGCCTGTCTCTACCAAGCCCATGCTGTGTAGCCGAATGCATTCGAACCAACGAGATGAAACACTGAATACCTTCCCGTGGGGGCCTTGCAACACACACGTTTTGCGTCGATAGCTGGGCAGAGTGACTGCGCTGGCGGAAGAGCAAATGTTGGACCCTGCAACAAACACAAGTTAAGGATAATGTTGGATAGACAATGGAGGTGTAAACGCGTCCTGAAAACTTCTGGACAATGCGGACGACCAACTATAACTCGAATACCCAATCCGCATGATGCGCATTGCAAATGTGCTCGGGCCAAAAAACGGGACAAATGATCACTGGCCCCTAAAGATACCCGAATAACTATATTGAAAGCCGGAACACATGGCATAAGCCGTGGGTACCACCTTGCCATTTACCGAAGACGCCTGGACAACCTGACAAACGAATCTCGCTGTGCCAGGAACACTTAGCTTACGTATCTGCTCTACAGCTCACCAAGAAGCGCATCAAACCAGAAGCAGAAATACATTAGAAACGGAGCATGGCTCGCGCACAAATTGCAAACTGCACATTGTTGACGCATGTTGGATGCCCGAACGAATGGCGTAGGTCACGAAAACCAAATCATCTGCTGACGGCTCCGGGCCACTTCTCCAGGACAACTCTGGCTCGCAAACCCCTATGCAAATTGCACACATCGAAGATGTGCTCGAGCCAATAAGCGAAACAAATGAATGACTGTGCATCATTGATATGTATAGACATTCGATAAACGATGACGGAACTTGAACACATGGCTTAGACCATACAAACCTTGCCATTTACCGAAAACTCCTCGACATGTCTCCAAACATGTTGAACCGGCAGCGGTGCATTCCGCTTCCTCCTGCCCCTACCGAGCCCGTGTTGGAGCCAACGTGGCGACTCACTGAGTACATTCCCGTGCTTGACCCTGCACTCCACAACCGAAGAACGACTACGGACGCGTAGGCAATTTACATAGACAATGGAAGTGTAAACGTGCACTGGAAACTCCCGGACCATGCTCACACACAACTCTAGCTCGCAACCTTCATATGCATTCTACGCATTGCAGATGTGCTCGAGCCAGTAAGCGGGACAACAGAGCGGGTGCACATCACTGGCCCGCCAGAACACATGGCAGAGGCCATATGAGCCTTGCCATTTACCGAGGGCTGCTGGACAACTCGACAAACGAATCTCGATGTGCTAAGAGCACTTCGCGTGTGCATGTGCTTCACCACTTGCACACATCGCACCACCTGGAAACGCATACAAACAAGTTCAAGCCAACAGCCGAAATAAAATAGGAACTGCACATGTTTCATCAACACATTAACCAGTGCCCAATGTTGAAACATATTGGATGCCCGAACGGATGCCGTAGGCCATGAAAATGGGATCATCCACTGAAGGCTCCTGGACACTTCTCCAGGACAACACTGGCTCGCAAACCCCAAACACATTGCTCACGTCGAAGATGTGCTCGAGCCAGTAAGCGAAACAGATGAACGGCTGTACATCATTGATCCGTAAATATACCCGAAACCAGATATCGGAACCTGACACATGGCTTAGGCCATATACACCCTGCCAGTTACCGAAAACTCCTCGACATGTCTCGAAACATGGGGAACGGGCAACAATGAACTCCGCTTAGGCATGCCTCTACCAAGACCTTACTCGGGCCAACGATGCGACTCATTGAATACATTCCCGTGCTTGACCCTGCAATCTACAATCGAAAAACGACTACGGACGCCGGGGCAAATCACATGGACAATGGAAGTGTGAACGCGTACTGAAAACTCCCGGACTACGCGCACACACACACAACTCTAGCTCGAACATTGAATCCACATGATGCGCATTGCAGATGTGCTCGAGCCAGTAAGCAGGACAACAAAGCGGATGCACATCACTGGCCCGCAAAGATACTCGACGAACAATATCGGAAGCCAGAACACATGGCAAAGGCCATATGAGCCTTGCCATTTACCGAGGGCTCCAGGACAGATCGACAAACGAATCTCGCTGTGCCAGGAGCATCTCGCTTGTGCATCTGCTCTACAGTTCGCAAACGTCCCACCACCTGGAAACGCATACAAACAAGTTCGAGCCAACAGCCGAAACAACTTAGGAGCAGCACATGTTTCACCCGCATATTAACCAGCGCCCAGAGTTGAAACATATTGGATTCCCGAACGGATGGCGTCGGCCATGAAAATGGGATCATCCACTGAAGGCTCCTGGACACTTCTCCAGGACAACTGTGGCTCGCAAACCCTATGCATATTGCAGACGTCGAAAATGTGCTCGAGCCAGTAAGCGAACCAGATGAACGACTGTACATCATCGATCCGCAAAGACATCCGACACCAGATATCGGAACCTGAACACATGGCCGAGGCCATAGACACCTTGCCATTTACCGAAGGCTCCTCGACATGTCTCTGAACATGTGGAGCGGGCAACAATGAACTCCGCTCAGGCATGCCTCTACCAAACCCTTACTCGAGCCAGCGATGCGACTCACTGAGTACATTCCCGTGCTTGACCCGGCAATCTACAATGGAAGAACGACTACGAACGCCTGGGCAGATTACTCGGACAATGGAGATGTAAACGTGTGCTGGAACCTCCAGTACAATGCGGAAAACCAACTCTAGCTCGAAGATTGAATCCGCATGATGCGCATTGCAGATGTGCTCGAGCCAGTAAGCAGGACAACAGAGCGGATGCACATCACTGGCCCGCAAAGATACTCGACGAACAATATCGGAAGCCAGAACACATGGCAAAGGCCATATGAGCCTTGCCATTTACCGAGGGCTCCAGGACAGATCGACAAACGAATCTCGCTGTGCCAGGAGCATCTCGCTTGCGCATCTGCTCTACAGTTCGCACACGTCCCACCACCTGGAAACACATACAAACAAGTTCAAGCCAACAGCCGAAACAACTTAGGAACTGCACATGTTTCACCCGCAAGTTACCCAGTGCCCAGAGTTGAAACATAGTGGATGCCCGAACGGACGGCGCAGGCCATGAAAATGGGATCATCCACTGAAGGCTCCTGGACACTTCTCCAGGACAGCTGTGGCTCGCAAACCCTATGTACATTGCAGACGTCGAAGATGTGCTCGAGCCAGTAAGCGAAACAGATGAACGACTGTACATCATCGATCCGCAAAGACACCCGACACCAGATATCGGAACCTGAACACATGGCTGAGGCCATAGACACCTTGCCATTTACCGAAGGCTCCTCGACATGTCTCGAAACATGTGGAACGAGCAACAATGAACTCCGCTTAGGCATGCCTCTACAAAGCCCGTACTCGAGCCAACGATGCGACTCACTGAGTACATTCCCGTGCTTGACCCTGCAATCTACAATGGAAGAACGCCTACGAACGCCTGGGCAGATTACTCGGACAATGGAGATGTAAACGTGTACTGGAACCTCCGGTACAATGCGGAAAACCAACTCTAGCTCGAAGATTGAATCCGCATGATGCGCATTGCAGATGTGCTCGAGCCAGTAAGCGGGACAACAGAGCGGATGCACATCATTGGCCCGCAAAGATACTCGACGAACAATATCGGAAGCCAGAACACATGGCAAAGGCCATATGAGCCTTGCCATTTACCGAGGGCTCCAGGACAGATCGACAAACGAATCTCGCTGTGCCAGGAGCATCTCGCTTGCGCATCTGCTCTACAGTTCGCACACGTCCCACCACCTGGAAACGCATACAAACAAGTTCAAGCCAACAGCCGAAACAACTTAGGAACTGCACATGTTTCACCCGCAAGTTACCCAGTGCCCAGAGTTGAAACATAGTGGATGCCCGAACGGACGGCGCAGGCCATGAAAATGGGATCATCCACTGAAGGCTCCTGGACACTTCTCCAGGACAGCTGTGGCTCGCAAACCCTATGTACATTGCAGACGTCGAAGATGTGCTCGAGCCAGTAAGCGAAACAGATGAACGACTGTACATCATCGATCCGCAAAGACACCCGAAACCAGATATCGGAACCTGAACACATGGCTGAGGCCATAGACACCCTGCCATTTACCGAAGGCTCCTCGACATGTCTCGAAACATGTGGAACGAGCAACAATGAACTCCGCTTAGGCATGCCTCTACAAAGCCCGTACTCGAGCCAACGATGCGACTCACTGAGTACATTCCCGTGCTTGACCCTGCAATATACAATGGAAGAACGACTACGGACGCCTGGGCAGATTACTCGGACACCGGAAATGTAAACGTGTGCTGGAACCTCCAGTACAATGCGGAAAACCAACTCTAGCTCGAAGATTGAATCCGCATGATGCGCATTGCAGATGTGCTCGAGCCAGTAAGCGGGACAACAGAGCGGATGCACATCATTGGCCCGCAAAGATACTCGACGAACAATATCGGAAGCCAGAACACATGGCAAAGGCCATATGAGCCTTGCCATTTTACCGAGG